TAATAATCTTATGAGAGCTCTAAGATAGATTCAACAGGTCACCAGGAGCAATATCAGTATAATTCACTTGAAGTTTTTGTAACAAGGAGCGAGGAAGGAAAAGTACATCTTACATCAAATATGTAGGTTTCATCCCAGTGGAATATTTTACCGCCGTTAATGTTAGAGTTCAGCTATGCTTTTAACCGTTTCGAGTCGTATTCTTAAAATTATGAGAAGCTTAAATCCAATATCTTCTCATTGTAAACAACGAATACTGATCCTTTATAGTGTTCTGGACAATATTTTCCCAAGCTACCATAGTTAAGAGAATTCTATCCACTATACCAAAAGTAATCAACATTACTGTAGACGTTTTTCATCTTGTTCACGCATTGACCCCTATTGCTTTTTAACATTTAAAGCAGGGTTTGTGTCTCTTTAGTAGTCTTGATCTATTAAAGCCTCCTTGTTTCTCCACAAACCAATCGTATCGGATTTCCCTTTATAGTAATGAATTACAAACAATCGTTTTATTCAGTTTGAGTACATATTTAGCTCTTTGTTCTCCTGGTCATTGATTACAATGTTACCGTCATATCCTAATATTTTAATAAAATACCCGATACCAGGCTATGTAACTCTCTTGGACATCCGGGCATGTTGATCATTGCCAAAATGTGGTGACGTCGTCGTTTCAAGGAGAAAAATGTTAATTTGCTTTGGATCGAATTATGGTAAACCTTAAAGGTTAATTGCAAAAGGAAATTTGAAATAAGTCTTTCACGCTAGACGCATTTACAATGGCCATAATGAGAAATATTTTATTTCGCTGTGCGAAATGAAACTGTTTGATGCTCGTTTGAATGTATTGTGGTTCCATAGCCTGGCCCTATTCTCCTTGTACTTTTCATGAGTCTCTGTGCCAATCTTTCATTTCTTCTTGTTTTGTACTAGTTCTATCGAATATGCGATTAAATTAAGATTATCTTATTATTAATATGTCGATATATAAAATGGTGTTCACATAGCCTGATCAATTTTGCATCGCAAAATACATCAGGAAAATATCTACATGTCAACATAATCATAATACAAAGTCAAACTCCATAGGGCATCATATGAACAAAAGAAAGATTTACACGGAGACTACTGAAAAAGCACATGGAGAATAAGACCTGGTGTTCCGAACCTGGTGTTCCGAAAGAGTAAGCTTCATCGACGACAACCGCCAAGTAAACCATGGCCAATCAAACAGGCAAACTATCGAGCAGCAAATACGTCCAGTGTCATGTCACACAAAGAAATAGAATATTTTTCAATGAGATCAGTAAGGCCACCATAAAATTTCCCAATATTTTATCAACCCCATCTTTTGACCCCTTGCAAGCTATTGCCAGTTTCCCTTATTACGATAACGTCATTTTATAATTTTTACTTTTTTATAATCATTCACCAAAAAACATTCTAACATTTTTTCAGATAAATATATTCGCTACGTTGGTAAACAGGCAAACAGACATTTTGACAAGTGCGTACACTTGTGTGTCATAAGTATCCTATACATAGGATAGGTCATACTTTAATCATGTTTAGAATAGAAACTGATTTTTTCTTGGTCTCATCCCTTTTCAATATCCACGTTACACTATATAGTACGGACACCAGATCCTGAAGTGTCAGTGTTATTTTTACATAAAAGGTACTATGGATTGATAAAATTACATAAAAAAGTTCAATGTGGGTGTTTAGGTGGAACTTTAACGGCAAAAATGTTGAATTTTACAGTACGTCTGGGGTCATGATGGTACTTTCACCTGCGGTTAACAGAGAGGAAAAGTGTTATTTGAACCCTTCTACTTGATTAGTTTTATAAGATAGTATCATATCTTATATAGGCCAATATAATTCGCGTTCTGTCCTTGTCTTGTTTAATCTGCTGACGGGATAGCAAGGATAGATATATATAGTTACAAATGTACTCAGTAAGGTGTATTTTAGACCGTCCTTCGCCATAGTTTGCGAACATTTGATATTTTGATAAGTATGAGCACATTATCTATTCTTATATTTAAAGCTTTCTTTTTCAACGACTGCACAAAAGATACACAGGAGATTAACTTGTTTCAAATCAGATTTAAAATTAGATAAATTAAATCAAAATATTGAACTAAACTGCATCATACAGCTCTTTCATCCTTCTACGATTCCCCAATGATTCCGAGGGCCTAATTTTTGAAACCAAAGAGGCGCCTAAGGAATCTAAAGCAATCGAAGAAAAGTCAAAATCTAAATGGTGAGGGAGGATAATTGATGGCATATATATTTCATACCCAATAGCGAATAAAAGGAATAGAAATTTTGTTTGGGTTTTTTAAACCACTTTCGCTCTAGTGGGGATCAGCGCATTCCAAATTTGATATAATGATGTTGTAATTCTTGTATAAGGTTCATTTGACTAACCCTTACCCCTACGTGTGCTGGCTCTGTTCAATAGGATTTTGTAAAGTTCAATTCGAAATCTATATCTGTACACTGTCTCAAAAACAAGTATTGAGTTTGTAATAGTTTTTTAGTTTTTGAATACTGTCAGTCAACATTTGTTAGTATCAATTTCTACTTCATCAATGATTCGACTTACTTTTATTGAATGTCATCAAACATGTTGCTTTCAAACGAATTCAAAAACAAGATCACAGAAAAATACGGAAACTACAGCGTCGACCATTTAATCTGACGTCAACATAGGTTAGTTCATAGACATCGTTTTATTTTTACTTAAAGCCGTCTCAGCTGGTCCTTTGTTTAAAGCAGCTGGCTACAGTTTTCTTCCTTTCTTTTATTTGATTCCAAATACACTCGATAGGATTGCGATCATTGTATTAATCCATTAAAACAAAATGTCGATGTTGACGCATTCGATATTAGATCAGGTGTCTTCTGCTGACACGTGACGCAATTTGTCATCAAGAGCGATACAACAAGCGGAATGTTTAGGTTATGATCGATATCAAACTTCACACCAAGTTTAAGTTTCTAGCACCAAAACAAACATTACATAATTTACAATCGTCTTTATAATGCTACCAGTGACACAGTGATCATTGTAAATTCTGTGTCCCGCAAAGGATACGTGACAGGACGAGATACATGATTCCAAGAACAGGAATGTGTCTCTACTTGAACGTGAATCGTGTATAATATGACTGTGATTCGAGCATGTCTTGGTGACTAACTGATTAATCAGTTTAATCAGTCGAGCGAAAAATCGAAAGGACAAAAGCCCTCCAATGCGAAGAAACGAAAAAAGGTAAAAACAAAAGACGCTATTTCAACTTTAAGCTTTGGTATCTTTTTTCTTATCTCGGTTTTGGCGTCTTTTCGTCATTTCGCTTTGGCAGGTTTCCGTCTTTCCTTTATTTCGCTTATTCCAGTTATGGCAATCTGCAGGACTACCACAACGTACCTAAATACACCTTCTGTCATGACAAAGGCCATTTCTGTTACCTTCTGTCATCACAAAAGTCATTTCAGTGACACTTTGTCATCACAAAGGCTATTTCAATGAATTTTGGTCATCACAAAGTCCATTTCAGTGACACTTTGTCACTATCAAAGTCATTTCAGTGACACTCTGTTCTGACAAAGGTCATTTCAGTGACTCTTTGTCATCACAAAGGCTATTTCAATTAATTTTGGTCGTCACAAAGGTCATTTCAGAGACACTTTGACATCACATTGGCCATTTCAGTTATTCTTTGTCATGACAAACACACTTTTCATCACAAACATCACACTTTGTCACTACAAAAGTCCATTTCAGTGGCCATTTCAGTTATTCTTTGTCATGACAAATGCCATTTTAGTGACACTTTGTCATCACAAAAGTCATTTCAGTGCCACTTTGTCATCACAAAGGCTATTTCAATGAATTTTGGTCATCACAAAGTCCATTTCAGTGACACTTTGTCACTACAAAAGTCCATTTCAGTGACACGTTGTCACTACAAAAGTCATTTCAGTGACACTTTGTCCTGACAAAGGTCATTTCAGTGACTCTTTGTCATCAGAAAGGCTATTTCAATGAATTTTGATCATCACAAAGGTCATTTCAGAGACACTTTGACATCACGTTGGCCATTTCAGTTACTCTTTGTCATGTCAAATGCCATTTTAGTGACACTTTGTCATCACAAAAGTCATTTCAGTGCCACTTTGTCATGACAAATGCAATTTTAGTGACACTTTGCCATCACCTTGGCCATTTCAGTGACACTTTGGCTTCTGACATCACCAAGTGGAGTCAGCTAATCTGACTTGGACTCTTAAACAACAACGATATCGTTATTATTTGACGTTTACGTGAGATAATAAACAGAATGGCCATAATGATATTGAACATCAGCAGCTGGTGTGGACATGTTTCCTAGATTCATATGTTCGGATATTTTAATTACGAGGTACTTTAGATCAAGGTGAATTTTGTTTTATACTGGTTGCCATTTTATTCAACTAATTTCAGAACCGTATTGATGATATAACTTATGCTTACAGTTTTGTACCCATACAAGTTCCGTGTGCAACCAAACTCACGTTTAGTCAAACTGTTTTCCATACGACCTAATATTTAACCACTCATGATTGAATAGAGTAACAAAAAACTCCTAATCAATCAAAGTATCCAAAGATCTTTTGTATAGTCACCAGCATGGTTTCTTGACGATAGAGGTTTTTTCTGTTATTTACGTTTATCAACTCCCTTTGTCAAGATTTTAATAAGATTGTTCCTAAATTACCTTTGATCACCACATACACAAGCCCTATAATCAAATGAAATCACATAACGTACCATTAATCGAAATACCACATTTTGTATATCTTCTTAAGGATTGGGTCCTGAGGTGAGTAGGTTGGTAAGGTGGAGCAGCGCTATGGCACTAAAATGTGTCTTTTTCTTTATATATTTCATTCAATTGAATAATCTAATTTGAAAGAGAGCTATGATAATTTTTAGTACGTACTGAACTCTACTGTCTGTGAAGTTTGGCCACCATATTTCTGTCTAGCTGACGATGGCGGGCCACTGTCAGCATGATGATCTGACTGGTCCTGAAGAAGCCTCGTTTTCGAAGTTGGACCGTCCTGCGAATATGGAAAAACAGATAAACAGAGACACACTATGCGTAATCAAATTTTTTCACTATTAATGCCAAATTTCAATATAAATTCGTTAAAAGTTATAATTTGATCAAACGTAATGCTATACCACATCTATAAAGTAAAACAACAGGAAGTTTCCCTCAGAGATCAAATTGATCTGATACAAGCCTTTAGGCGTTCTCAATCACGTCTGTACATACTGGTGTGTTTGATTGTGTGTATGTATATTTCATTAACAAAATGTTCAACCTTACGACCAATTAACTCATCCATAAAACACGCGAAGACGATATCTCAATCCCTACCATCCGCAATGGTAGTAGTATGGCATTTTTAGTGTGTAGTTTGTACCAATGAACTATACCTTAAATGTAGAATTCGAACATAAACGCTATCAGTGTATTTCATCGAATGCATGTTTTATTCCACTTTTCTTTCATTTATAGTAACTTTGAAATCAAACTTTATTCCTCGTTTCCAACATGGAAATGCATCACAACTTAAGGTAATAGATTGGTCAGCAATATCGCGTACACAACATAGCGGACTATAAACTGCGTTCTTCTTTATGACATTCCTGTCAATAAAAGACATTGTAATCGGAAGAGGGTCATTAAAAGAAAAAGAAAGATATTTAAACACCCAAAAATCAATATTCTTCAGTATTGCTCTACAAAACTACTAAATCTAGTTTTTCATAAACAAAAATTTTCGGAAGAAGATAATGGACTATTCTCTGGTATATAATTAGAGTTAAGACCTTCGGTAATGATTCGGTTCAGACAGATTTCGCACCATCGGATAGAATTACATATCCCATATACACACAATTTTTTTACTCTATGAATACCCTTTTTACAGTGCAATGTGAATGCTTCAAAACTCTCAAAATTGATGATTATCATTTTTCTGCTGTCCGGCCTATCATTAGATTGATGCATGTAAGTAATTAATTTCAAGGTCAGTGATAAAAGGTCATAAAGATAGCAACTTTTATTCAACGTAAATCCCAATAACATTCAGAGTGAATATCCATTCGTGAAGATCAATCTCATTGAGAAATGTTCTATTTTTTGTATGAAGCTGGGCGTGTATGATATTCATTAGATTGCTACTGGTTCGGACATCTTGTTCTCACTTGAGAACGTGGCATTACTTACTTTGATTAACCAATTTTTACATGGTCGATGTCGTCGATAAAACAGAAGACGCTTACCCTTCCGAAATACCTAGTCTTATGTACTGTTTCAGGAGTCTTCGCGTAAATCTTTCATATGTTTATATTTTGCTCTTGTTTTATTGAATTTTAGATCGAATAATAATTTTGTTGACATATTGCTTTTTTATTCTTGTTTTTTAGCTGTAATCAAAATAATTCAATTTCGGTGAATAGTGTTAAAAAGGTCAAATCCGGTGTTGAATAAGTAGATCACTTACATTTTCTAATAATTTTGTATATTAAGTGGAATTCAATTCGTCTCACTGTCTCTGAGTGGGAAGAAATCCTCAGATTATGCTCGAATTACCATATATCGCAGCAAAGTACAAACAAATGTAAGGTTGCCTATTAGAAATTCATCAAAATAGCCATTCCTAAAAGTTACAAACTTCATAAACCTGACAAACGACGTAATCACGTAATCGGAAAATATGTTGGGGGTGAAAATAAACATTGGACTAATAACTCTTTTTAAGTTATCCAGATATTCAAAGACAACATCGATAAAGAGGATTGGTGGTGAGGACTCGATGTCCAGGATAGTTCTGAAATCTTCATCCACGCTAACGTAATTAACACTGGTTAATGTTATTCTTTGTGCAGGACACATTTTATCTTCTCATGTCACACCCAAAAGCTGTTTCCCAGGCTAATATCTCAGTTTATAACTTGATCAAACCGCACGCTAGACATTACGAGACATTCGAGTCCCTCTGCGGACGTACCTTCCTATAGTAGTTGGCGGCAGGGAGAGTATGAATGTCAGTATAAGTACATTATAAATGTCAACCGCTTAAATTGATGATAATCTGTATGATAAATGCAGCATTTAACAAAGTAAAAAGGTACATATTCATGTTAATTTACAAATAACAGGATAATATAAGTCACGAAATTGGGATTAATATATTCGCATTTTTGTGTTACCTTCTTTCAAACCATGCTTCGCTTTTCGTGGAGGCCAGCCATAAGCATACCTCAACGAACAATACGCTCAAAACGTATACCATCGTCAACCTTTCTACAGGAGTTATCTTCCCATCTTTACGTTTACATTTAAAAATTAGATATAGCAAAAAAATTAATTAAATTGCATCAAACATTTGTTTCCCTTTCTGAATTGGTGTCGTATAGGAAAATCAAATTAAATGAAACCTATTTTATGCCAGAAATAAAATTAAAAATAATTTTAAAAACAGTTAGAAAAAGATAATTTGATTTGGAAATCGATACCATTGTATTATGGAATATAATTATTCAAGATATATGTATTTATGTACAGAGAAACAAAAAATGCTCCATTTGGGTTACTGAATGATTGTTCTAAATTTTAGTTACATCTACTTTTTTTCTTCAAGAATTCATTTTACGGCCCAAACATTGTACTACTGATTACTGATGTCATTCCACCATCCCTCATCAACTCCCCCCACCCTCCCTACCCCCACCCCCACCCCCCACACCCACCCCCCCCCCCCCCCCCACCCACTCACCCCCGCCCCCCACCCCCCATCCCCTCCTCCTCCCCCTACAACAATGGCCATCCCTACTAAAAACACACACAATCTCTCGGCATGTCATCCTTGACGCGTCGGCTGGGAGATTAAGGGAGACTCTACTTCCATCAATGTCCAGACGTGTCTCATTATCACATGTCAGGTGTATAATTACAATCAGCCAGGCACCGCCATGACCACCCTTTCCATTAAAACATCAAGCGAGCATGCGCTATATCATAAACAGTGGACATATTAGCACTTACGTTAGCTCAATCGCTCAGGCCATGACGACTTTTATTTAATTATATCTTATATGTCTGCCCTAAAAATCGAAATTCACTTAACTAAACAATGTATTACGTTCATGCAAACTTTAGTATGTATGACAAGTAGACATTGTATGTCTGTGTAAAACTAATAACTCCGACATGCAACAACAAATCGTTTGTTTTGTATGTGTTGGCGTAAATTGCAGATAATCCAGTGTCATTGATGCAAATACGATAACAAAACAATAAAATGTGTTTTCCTTTTGTAGTAAATGATGTAACTTTCAACAGGTGACTACATCTAGACCTAAAATCAGGAGATACCTGGTATATAGGACATCGTTTGACCAATAGATCATACAGAACCGGAAGCGAGTTTTATACCAATAACTGAAAAATATTAATTGATAACATTCGATTGGATTAATGGGCTGAATCTTCACATACTTTAGGAAAATTTCCGACAGAAAGTGAATGCTTTAAGGTGTGACACGGATATTAAACCTTCAATGTATAAGGAAAATGTGTTCTCTAAATTCTGTGGGAAAAGTTTCACGACAAACTTGTAAATGAATAATTGAAGTGTGTTTACGTCACGTTTTTAAATGAGAACGAGGTAAATGACAATTGGGAATAATGATATAGAGTTGTTGTTTAGCAATACATTATGCATTATGCAATATATACAAAGAATTCACCTCTCCATAAACGCATCCCCACGAAAGTTTGAATACTTAAATGAAGACATTACTATCGTAGATACGCCAGAACGCCAATTCAATCTTCTCAGTATGACTGAAGGAAGGTTGAAGATAAAACACTTTCTTATCGATACTCTTAAGTCAAATTATCTTTGTCTAGATATTCATCACATTCTTTGTGTGATTTTAAAAAGTATTTTATGTAGATCAATATACATGTATGACACTTGAATGAAATATTTTGATTATTATCACATATGTATGTATTACAGTAGGGAGGCAGGTGTAATGGAAATAATCAAAATACATACTGATAACAGGGAGGACTGCTTAGTAATGTGTGTAGCCTTGAAGAAAAGACGTGGTTCATGAAAGGTATTGGACATTGGACGTCACGGGCATATTGGCGTTTTAGCTCAGTTTCTGTCTGTGGAGCTGTCACCAGTATAACATGAATAGAGAACAGCTAAGCTGTCGAGCCACATACACACACACACACACACACACACACACACACACACACACACACACACACACACACACACACACACATATATATATATATATATATATATATATATATATATACATGTATTTCTCTTTTATCAACGCTATTTGAAAGGGTCAGATAACAATTACAGTGCTGTTTTATCATAAGCAGAAAGCAATCAAGACATCCGCAACACATCGGGAGAACACTGAAGAGTTCTAATTCTTCCTCGATTCAATATTCATTTCAAACGCCACTTGAAGTGATTATAAGGGTATTTAAACACACAAGTTTGAACGTCTCGTGTACATTGACTTGGGTATCGTAACGAGAAGTTAATATGGGGGTATATCAAAATCTGAGAATTCTTAATCTTAAAATTTGGGAGGATTCAAGCCATGGCCATGCTTTTTATCTAAAAGAAACATTGAGTTGAATATCAATCACCGGTTCAGACCTTTTTTGAAATCCTGCCTTTGTAATCAAATTACTTTTGCTATGGGTTGGTAGTGGTGTGTAAAGTTCGAGATGTTCCGGAAAGCTAGAAGTCTATTTATAACTTCTCTGAGACAATTGTGTTTTAACACACTTCATCGACACGGAGATAACTGAACTTGTTATTGACCTAAATTTAATTAAATGTGTGATGTCCACCTGCTCGATAATAACTATACCAACCAATCGACAAAACACAACAAGAAAATATCAATATATCAACATAACCATAATCTTAACACAAATAAGATAAAGCTTGGGAAAGATATTAACAAAAGACAGATTTACACGGAGACTCCTGAAAAAGTGCAAGGATAATAAGACCAGCTGTTCCGGAAGGTTAAGAGTAAGTAATGTCACGTATATGATAGCAAGATACATTGTATACAACAACGGAATCAACAGACAAACTAACCAGCATGAAACAAGGCCAGCTTCATATGCAGAAAGAAATGAAATATTCTCAATGAGATCATTAAAACCCCTATAAGAAAAGCTGTCTGTGCTAGTTTCGTTGTAAGAAAAGATCGAGATAAGTGACAAATGTAAAAGACTGCCTTGTAGGCGATTTCCTATTCTCACGTTTTGAAGAAAATGGTAGAAATGTACGTGTGAATCGCAAATGACGACAAGCAGGTTAACTATGCGATGAGGGAATAACGCGACAGTATAACGGAAAGCGATGGAGTTCAGGCATTCATGTATTCTTTCAGATGTCATTCTGGTGTACAGTAATATAGAAATTGTAACTATTTCTACATGGGAGAGGAAGACCAATAAGTGGTTATTGAAAATGTTCTTCCGGGGCTGCCTTAGAAACATGTATTATAACATTGAAAGCATCTTTCACGTGTTACGCTGCCTCAGAAACTGCTTAAAGTACCGCTGATCTTATAATATATAATTCTACGTTATTATTGGTATAAAAACAACTTTTATTGAATAATTACCCCACAAGCTATTTGCGTGAATATTTGAAAAAAAAATCATGATTATGTAGTCTGTTTGGTACCCGATAGATGACCTGCGTTCCCATATGGATATTTGTATTCATGTTTCTTTTCAATGAATCGATTCCCGTTCAGAAAAAAAAAAAACATTTTTTTTTTAAATTGAACGAAGCTTGCACTAATCTTAATGAACGTACATTTGAAATACCATACATAGGATAACAAGTATTAGAAAGTGCATAGCAGATATATAGTTTATCTTAAATCAATTCTAAAGTTAAATGATGTCATTAAAAGTGTGCCACAGGTTAAAAGTTGACAATAACCTTCTAGATAAGAGATAAAGAATTAGGGATGTAAATTATGGAAAATGGTGATCGTGATATTCCTTCGGGTTATAGACTTGCCTTCGTCTGACAAATACGGCGTTAACGTATAATTCCAACACGGTTTACGACGGTGAAACTACCCTAAAGCAATGTCACATCTTCAGCCTTCATAATAAACATATATTACACAAGAATACGCCTCCACAAGCTGATAATTTCTTTAAGAGGAAAGTCATTTCCTTGAGTTTTTTATTATTATTTTTGTCACTTGTTTACTATGCTGGGTAATTGAGTTGACCTGAGACGCAATGCAAGAGTGCTACTACGTCATTAAACTCGATCATCTGAAGTCTGATAAAGATAAGTGTTTGTTGTTTAGATGGATGAATATCACAGAGACACATAACCATCCTAAATCTGATAGAAGGTTAACCCCGTGTAAATTCAGCTGTAGGCCTACTACTTTGTAAAAAGCGCACTTAAGCAGGTCACATGCATATAACATGTAGCGCTAGTGTGCACTCATGTTAAATCCGTGTTGATCCCAAACAGGAAGAAGATGTTTTACACTAAACGTGAATTGTATTTATATACATCACTTATTCTCTTCCGTAATATCTACTGAAACAACGAAAAGAAATGTGTTGATAAGATAGGTAGTGTCTACGCATACATGTATATACCCGCCGTGTATAGATATACATGTACGCATATATGTTTATTTGTAGGTATACATGAAGTACTTTCTATATATTATATTCAACTAATAAAGTTGCAAATACTTTTGCCATTTGCTTACAGTTTAAAATGAAGGACACCCCTGTCACTGATCGAGTTAATGCTGATTTCATGTTGCTTAGATGTGTGTTTCGGTGTGCCGCAACGTCATCAACAAACTGAAGTAGATAATATATATTACAAAGTACATCCTTACTTACCTTTGTATACTGAAGATACATATATAATATCATAAACCTATACCCTATATAATAGTGCATGGGCGTGTCATGTATACATGCGTATACACATGTATAAAGCTGTGTTTCGTAACTGTCTTTACTACTCTCAGTTGGGGAACTCATACAAGAGGTATCATCTTTCTGTATATCAAATGTTGTTCGGCACGGTATATATATTGAACTATGTTTACCTGAGATATTAGACGATGACCGTACACGAGTCAGCAAAGTTACTGATTAAAATCTGCTTAAATCGATTTGATTGTAATTAAATTGATTGGTCAAACACCAACTTACCTGCTGCGAGGAAAAGCAACACCCCATTATATTATGTCTTCCATCAGACAGGGAAGCTGTTCTATAAATAGCACTCACATGACACTAACCGTGCGTTATATTTAGATGTTATATTTAATCTTTGAATTATCGGTGTTGACAGTATTTTATATCCTGGTTATCTTTGCTACGTTGCTGTATTTACGTTATGATCGCATCTTGTTGATAATCTGCGATCACCATAAGAATAGGACAATAGCTAGGATCTCATGCCAATAAATTCTCTTTAATGTTTGAACTACATTTGTCTTCGTTAGGGAAAATGTACAGTGTCACTAAGACCCTTCTTATACCATTAAATAATTACGTTTGATTGCCACTGTCTTGTTGATTTCAACATTTGTGGTTGGCGCTGTCATCGTTTCACTTTTGAGGGGGCACTCATGAGCTAAAGGTAGCTCTTCCTATACGGACAGTCACAAGAACTTGACATGAATTCCCTACCCATGGTCCATATGTATTATAATGAGTTTTTAACTCCAGAAGAGTTAGGATATATGTTCATCTATATGTATTTTTTCTTTTGCTAAATTATGTGGATTTTTATGCTGAAGGTTGTTTACACATACGTTACCTTTAAAAAAATGTTTTATCGTTTGATAAACAAGACTGATAATGACCAAGTGATACCTGACGAATTCGGAAATATGCATCGTTCGGTTGAAACGTTCTCTCGTCTCTAATTGGTACTTCAGCGACAATGCCGAAATATACGCTTGTGGCGATGTCACTCAATGGTTTTGAGCCTCACATGATGTAGAAATTCAATCAAGGTGCTCACTTTCTTAACAAGAACCACTCTGTTTACTATATGTCGGCTACCGATAAGTTGTACACCACACCCGAACACGGCCTTGATCCATGTATACAGTACATGTTATGGCTAACGATTTACATCTCAACAACAATTCTAAATTTCTTTAAAATCGATTAATACATTTTTTGAAAATCTCACACTCTGAATGGATTCATTACAATTTAATGTTTTGTATTCAATTTTTCATTCTTTAAAAAACACAAATCTCCGATGTAAACAAATAAAAAATGAAGTTCACTTTTCGATGTTTTGTAATAGTATAAATAGATTTTAATAGAAATTTGAAAAAAAAAACCCACCGAGGTCAAATAACGAGTGGTTGTTGTATCTGGAATGTTTTTTCAAATGAATCAGTTATTTTTCCGAAGTTAAAAAAAAAAAAAAACATGAGTTTTAACGAGAATTTGTTTTGTGACTTTTGAAAAATAACTAACCAGATCAAGAGAAATGGAGCATATAAGAATCAGGAGTTTCAGTTCAAGGCCTCGATCCGACAAAGAATGCAGAAAACCAAATTATGACAGAATGACTGTCAAGGACAACCATATATGCTGTGGCCAAAAGACTGGACATATACTGGTGATTATTTGATCAGATTTGGTGGCTCTGCAGTTGTCTGTCGATATATTGTGATACATGTTTTGGGTTAGCTACGTTTTCCTCAGCTTGTTATCTTGTGGTAATACTGTACGATTTAACTTCAATGATATGTTTTTTTTTTCTGCAAAATGGCTTATTTACTTCGTAATTCCATTTCCTATGTGATGTTTTCAATTTAATAGTGCAGTTCATCACTCAGATCATGGTAACTCACTATCAAAATTTATTTATGGGAAATAATAATTTTTTTTAAATGTATTTAAATCTGTAATTTTGACTAATATGATATACACATACAAACTTCCAGTAATTAGTTATGGTGTGTGATAAGACGAAAACTATTACAGGTGGATTCAATTATCAGTGGACGTCGTTCATAGAAAAGACCATTGCAAAATGTCCTCGACTCTATTAATTTATTAACGTAGTGTTCTCTTAATCCACGGCATTTCTTACTGATATAGAATAATTATGAGTTCGTTTTAGTGTATTTTGGGTTTCCGTCATTATATAAGGTAAATCTGCATTTGTACGTTGTATGGATTCCACCATTTGAATTCCAAGGCCCTCCTCAAATTGAAATCAAGTATTTTCAGAGGCTGCAGAACAAGCACCGACTTTCTCTCAATGACTTTTTACCTTACATCCGTGGTTTGTGTTATTTGGATAGATTCACGATAGCCTGAAACTGAAAGTATTATCAAAGCCGAGGACTAAAACGGAAGGCTAAGGAAATATTTCAAGGGAAAAAAGGAGAAACATTTTCTAGATATGTAACTTTTTAAACACAACATGGTTCCAATATATGTATATTATTAGTGAATACAGAAAAACATGCATTCCTGTCCATATTCAGTATTTAAAAACTCGTCATGAAGATAGCCCGCCTGTGCGGTATAAGAAGAGAGAGTATTAAATCCTCAGGGTTAATCAATATATATAATTTTTCTTTGGTATCCTGATATGATGCCCCTAGAGGAAATGCGTGGTTTCCCACTTCATCCGTTTCTCACTACAAAATTGCGTCAATTAGTGTCTTCACTTGTCTGTAAAAACAGCAAGAGAGACCTTGATGGGCGGATTAATAGAAGACAAGCACTATACGCTTATCATTAACATCATGTCGCGAGTTTGTTTAGAAACATTTTTTCTTCATTTTCACAAAGGGATTGGGCACAGTCATGTTACTTTTGAAAGTCTATTCCAAATAATTACTTATATACATTTACAGAGCACGCAGATGGGGAAACTTTTAAAAAATGTGATTGTCATCATTCACTGATTATCCTTATGCCAACTTTGTGTCATTTCAACTGGGTCAGCTATGTGTCATTTTAACTGAAACTATGTGTCATTTTAACTACAAACATAATCTTGTACGCCATCATGAGAGAAAGAGAAACACACAGACATCGAGAGAGAGAGAGAGAGAGAGAGAGAGAGAGAGAGAGAGAGAGAGAGAGAGAGAGAGAGAGAGAGAGAGAGAGAGAGCGAGAGAGAGAGAGAGAGAGAGAGAGAGAGAGAGAGAGAGAGAGAGAGAGAGAGAGAGAGAGAGAGAGAAATATGATGGTGGGGAGCGATGAAAGAGAGTTTTGAAATATTTTCATGCCGAGAATTGATAAGTGTGCATAAAGATCGTTTCATTATCTTTTTGTCGCGTATAATAGGACCCCCGCCAAAAACAGCCAGTGTGAGATGTAATTTAGTTTTCCTATATAATTGAATCCATTGTTTAGAAAACAAGCAACATTTAAAAGAACGGGAGAAACTTTCACAAGTGAAGTACAAAAATAGAGTTGAACATCGTAGACATTTACTCAGAATAAACTCTATTTTTGCTAGATTTATTTCTTGGTCAAATGTTGCTACATCTGTCACTAAGAAGAAAATACACTTGTATGTACTTACTAATCTTAAGTTGAAATCTTTCTTATTCAAGGATTTGACAATAGAAAGGAAGAAACAAAGGTCTATTGTTTCTAGTCATTTATTACATATCAAGTGCAATTGACTGCATGAAAGTGATCTAAGATCCCCATCATAAAAGAAAAATCATGATACAGATTTTTAAATATTTAAACATTACTGATACAATTGATCCAAAACATTGCGAAACATGTACACTTTAAAACTATTTGAAAGTTTCAAATACGTCTAAGGTTGAACAGGCGACATATATACATTGTAAATGATATATATCAAAACCATCGACATGACAATTACTATGTAGATAAAGCCGAATATACCGATGAAAGAAATATGTCTAATAGGTGATTCAATTGTTCCACGATCTGCTAACTCCACTTAATTCAGTTATGAGTAAGACGACGTCGCATCCCCGAGGCCAACAACAAGTATGACATTAGTATCTTATACCCAGTAGCATGATTTACACGAAAAGCCGTCGATAAAATGTTCTACATGATAATGAATCTAATGTTAGGATTTTTGGTTAATTAAGTAATGAAAGTAACAGCGAGGACAAAACGGAAGTTCTACTGTAAATCATTCAAGACAGTCTCACCATATACTTCCGGTCAGGCGACTTGCACGACAACTACGTGTGTGTTTATATAAAAAAAAAAAAACGTCTATAGGCCGTTTCTCAGCATGGGCTGAAATCCATTTTATTTTGGTTAACGCTCATCATTCGGATAATTGATAAAGGTCTCCTGGTGCAGAAAGGATCACGTGCACCGATGCGAACCGGAAATAATAATGTCTGAAAGGCGGGACTGGTCGCGTGCACTAGGAAACGATAATGTGATATTAGAAAGAAATAATTTCAGAGACAAGAAATGTTATATAAGTACTGAAGTAGTTTTATTACGCTTGGTAACAAGAATCATACACCATAATTACCATCAAACATTTCAGATAATAATACTGAACTGACAATTACCCGCTCGTTAATTCGCTCGTTGATATACGTTCAAACAGCATCAACGATATACAATGCTGTCTTCAGAATCAATATAACCTATTAGGTCTTTCAACACACATCCATTAGAGAACATATTGTCGTAACAAACCAGAGATATCGTGCTGTTGATTGTCCTCTTGGCAGCTTAAACATTGGCACGTGACTGATCGCCTGACCGGAATCTAGTAGCGCTGTTTCCTTATTAATTCTATAAGAAAAAATAGTTCAGAAATATATATGTGCGCTACTTTTTATAATTGATTACAAATAAACCTGTTTATGATGTGCTTTGTTACCAGACTGGAAACATCTTGATTTTTCCATGAACGTTAACGTAATGACCCACAGAAACAAAGATTATATAGACATGGATATATCTAATCAATAGATGAAACTACAATCGTTTTATTGTGATGTGTCTTCGTGCTCTGCCCAAACAAACGATAATTTCAGTAGATAAGCATTGGCCTTTGTGAACAGCTTCCATAACTGACTCAAAGTTAGGGTCATCAGCCCTTTATAGTAGGAAATAACATTCAAGTTTGTTTTTGAAACCCAGTTTAAAGCGTTGGCTTACATGTACGTATCTTTGGATAACTATCTGAGATGCGTGGCTCGAAGATCTTTACCCCGAAGCTGTATTTTTGTTTCAAGAAGCTGAGAAACGTGCCGGTCTATGTTGATATGGTTGT